AGTATGGGGCTGCGGTTTGGATTTGTGCTGGAAACGGTGTAGGTAACACAGGGATGTTTCAGTTACTGCTGAGCAGCGCTGACACAGGGTCAAGGCCATTTCTGCTCCTCAACCCAGCAGCGAGGAAGCTGGGGTGCACAAACAGCTGGGAGGGGACACAGCTGGGACAGCTGAGCCCAGCTGACCCCAGGGATATTCCATACCATATGATGTCATGCTCAGCGTATAAAGCTGGGGGAAGGAGGAAAAGGGGGGCGTTGGGAGTTATGGCATTTTGTCTTCCCAGGTAAACGTTACGTGTGACGGAGCCCTGCTTCCCTGGAGGTGGCTGAAGTTTTCTCAGTTTTACCCTTCTGATTCTCTCCCCCATCCCACTGGCAAGGAATAAGCGGGCGGCCGTGTGCTGCTTAGTTCCCAGCTGGAGCTGAACCACAACAAAGTAGAACATATAAAGCAAGTTGTTAGAGCTTTTATGTTTTCACCTTGCCATTGATCAGCTCTATTGTTTCTACCTGGACATCAGTTTTTAGCAAAGGCACTCCAGTAAATGAGGTAAACCTTCAAGAGACTGGACAGTAATAACTCATCACCACAATGGAAGCTCTTTGGCAAAAAAATTAAATTTCTGCCCCTGAAAAGCACAGCTTATATCTATGGTTGCATATTACATTGTATTGCACCCCAAAAGAGAAAACGGAACCAGACTAGAGAAGGATATTCCCTTCCTAAACAGCTTCCATGCTACTGCCATTACAAGGAAAAGAAAACGGGAGCCCCTGATGTAGTCAGTCTAGTGGGAAATTAGGTTCTTTTACTGGCTGCGCCTAAAGATGATCATGGCAAGCAAATGTTATTTCCTACTCTATTTGAGTCACTAATTCACAACGATAGGCAGAGATCAGGATGGCAAATGGAAATGAAAATAGGCAGTTCATCTTTAATGCTGAGGTAATTAAAACTCAGAGAAGTACTTCTATATGTATGTGTTAAAACACCCTTTCCATGCAGTAAAATAAACAGAAGTAGACACAGGAAGGAGGAAGGTTGTGAAAACTACTCAAAAAAACATGGAAAATGAAAAAGTATTGGCAGACATCAGACCCTCTATTCTACTGCAGCATGTTGAGTAGCATAGAGAACCATCTAAAGAGTACATATCAAGGCAGATTTTCCTCTTAAGAATGAAGAATAATTCCATTATTATTACCTTGAAGAATTAAGTGATGAACAATTTCAAAGGAAACATGAATAGGAAAAGAACCGTCATTAGGATATATGATGCTATCCTGTACTAAAGTAGATCACTTTCTTAATCAAAACCCTTCTAAGTAACTGCTTGTGACTTTTTCTTTGAGTATTCTGCTTTTATTCAAACCAAAAATGTAAGACAGACATGAAAGTGAATGAAACTCTGAAAAGAAAAATGTAATTATTTGGTTATTTGTTACCCAAAAGTTAAAATAATTATGTGGGTGATATTTATAATATCTCTTAAGACAAATGTTTCACTTTTAACTGCTGTTTCTAGAATTGAAAAATACCATTGTCCAAGAAAACAGTATTTTATGGATGTTATTCTACATATTAGGAAGGAAGGAGTCTAGTCCTTATTACCAAGTGAAACATTTCCAACCAGGATGTGACTGGATTTAATTGACAGAGATGCCAAGATAGCCATTTCTCTGCTAAATAAATTCCCAGTTTAAGGATTGAAATCTTCCGTTAGTTGCTACCCTGCATCACTTGAAGTGCACATATTCACTCTAAAGAAAAATGTTCTATATACAACCTGTGGTAAAAAGAGACAACAATTCAAGCTGGTGGCTTGTAAAATGTAGAAGCATTGAATAAACAGAATAACCTTAAGGAAGGATATTGGAATAATCCCAATAGTTTTCCAAATGAATAATCTTCATTCTTTCCACCAAGAATTATCTTTGTGATTTTGTTTAGAACCTTTCTTAAAGGCAAGTTAAGTACTGCTTGTTACTAAGAAACGTCAATTCAGATTAAAGCAGATGTATTGGATCACAACTGTGCCCGTACTTTGTAATGGGGTATGTTGCAGAGATCCCCAAATTTGTGCCAGAATCAGAATTCAGACATACTGTATAGCAACACAAAGCTGCTTAATTGGCTCTGCTGAGATGTATGACTAAGTGGTATGGAGAATACTAAGCTGATGAAGCTGCACTATTTTCTGATCTCGGATCTCTCCAAATAGCATTGCACTGGACGTACCATTTCATGTGGTACTAGTCTGGAAGAGCTATAAACTGGGTAGCATAGAAATGCTCTTAGCTTATAGTCCTCTCACAGCTGTGATAGCATTCATTTTGCCTCCAGTCACCTTCCCTATACCATGAATATAGCAGAGGAAGCAATGGGTAGTATCTTCAGTATGAGCCGTATTGACTTCCACTGGAACTAATCATGACTCACTCACATCCTTGCCTGACAAAATTCAGTGGTCTTTTTTTTTTCTTTCCCCTTGCTTCACTATCCAAGAAAGTGATGGTGTTATTCCCATCTTTCTTGATGCCCCTTATGTATGAAGTCACATAGAATTCCTTTGTGGACATACCTGCCATTGCATCTGCAAAACTACTGACAGATTAAGTCTTGGATGAATAGATCACTGGCATTTTGTTTTGGACAAATGCTTACACTAGTGCTCTTCAGCTTTGATTGAAGACGTGATTTTTCTCACTCTTTGCATAAGATCAGACGACAGCTAAGCGTCCATGGCACAGGCTGAATACAACAGCTTTGAATGCATTGTCAAGGGAAAGCAGACGAGGGTATATGTCATTATCTGTCTGGTGTGCGCACTACATCCTGTTTGTCTCCGCTGCTCCTGGCCAAGCCGTAGTTTCTGTTGTACCAGTTGTTTTTTTGAGGATATCACAAGCCCTCCTCTCACCCTACCTTCATTACTTCCTGTTTGACCAAATTCTAAAAGGAATTTCTTTTACTAATCATGCATTTGGGGATCTTAAATAGACTGGTACTTCACTGTATTTAATTCTACATTGCTGAAGTGGATGTCAGGTCAGTTGCTAATGCAGAATAAAGCAGAATTTTTCACTATCACACAGGGATATATCTGGGGAGTTTCTAACCTGAATTAAACTATTAATGAGTCTTTGCCAGGGGAAAAAAAAAAAGAAAAAAAAAACCACATGTGAAAGAAAATAGGGTAAGAGAGAAGGAGGAGAAAATAAAGGAAAAGGGTGCAAGTAGAGTATGTTAACTTGAGGTTGCTGAATTTAAATTGAAGACAGGAGTTATATGTTGGCCAACAACCCAGAGAAACCTTCAGTGAAAATGCTTCTCTATCCCCACTGACAGAGCAGCCAATAAGCTGGTAGCAGTACATGGATTAGGTGGCCCACAGAAAACCTAAGACCCCAGGGAAGTATCCTGTGTTGTCAGTTTTGCTCTCCTTGAGAGAAACAATCAAACAAAGGCTTCTAGAAAGGAGTGCCTAAAAACCATTATATGACCCATTAGTTTCACAGAAGTCAATTGCTCTGACAAATAGCTGTATTTTATTGGTCTGAAATAGAACAAAAACGTGTTTCCATCCATGTTTCAATTTGACGCTTTTGACTTGGATATGTTGGGCACCCACAAGCTTTGCCATTATGCTTTAAAATCTTTTTTTAAAAAGATCTTCAGAAAAGCACCACCTTATGTCATTCAGTGGTGACATATTAAACAAAAATTTGCTAAAATTAATGAGAACACTCACTGCAACATTAAGAATGAAAAAGCATTATCCTCACTTCAAAGGAGCTCGAGATAGAACTTGAGTTTTCCCACCACTTGGCTCCTCTCCACAAAGGAAATCTCTACCTTGGTTATTTGTTTTATGCTTGACACATCTAGGCTACAAAGGCATGGCCGACGTCCATGTATTCAAGAATGCCTTTTGCTGGTGTTACCACCTACCTAAATATCAGTATGTACAGATGATAGCAGTGAAATGCCTGATTTTCTGAGTCACATAAGAATTGTTTTAGAACATAACCACTGCCATTACAGACAGCTAGGCTGGCTCACGTGGAGTGACTCCAGCGTACTATCTTAACATTGCAGTAATGGCAAGCCTAAAACTAGTTTGGAGAAAAGCAGCAAATATGTAGTCGTAAAGCTTTAAAATTCTACTGATACTTCGGAATATCATCCTCCCAAAATAATTGGATTCAAGAGAATAATATTCTATTAAGTCCCTTTTTATTGGTTTCTTCTGTGTTAGGCTACCAATTTGCCTGTTACACCACTGACAGGATTCAGCTTGATTGGAAAACAAGGGTGGCCTATGAACGGTATCAAAGAGAGCATATTCCTAGTTACATTGGTTTGTATCCAGCCATCACAGACCTCAAAATGTCTGGATGAAACTTTCTTCTGGCCAAAACTACAACACTATATAATTAAATCAGTGTAAATCTAAAACACATTGAGATACTTTGCAGATTTTTACCGGCTCACCTCATCTTGAGAATTCTATCAAACCCAAGAGCTGGAAATCTGAACAGATATGCAAGATATAATGCTCATACTAATTCATTCAGAGTTTTTCAGAAGTGCTCCTGTCAGTCTCCTATGACACGTTTTTTTCCTGCTGCAAACTGTAATTTTTTGCAAAATACTCTTCCCTTGTATTTCTTATCCTAGTCTTGAATTTGAAAGATTCTACATATGCTCAATGAACATAAAAACTATAATTTTGCAACAGTACGTATAATCTCAACACACAAAAGTAGTTTCTCTCTCTATTCATTCTACAGATCCAATGTGACTGTGTTTAATCTAGTTTATATAAGACCTTTTTCCCGTTCTTGAGTTATTTTGGTAGACCAGGCACTATTATAAAGTTCTTCACACTCAGGCAATGAGACCAAGCACTGATTTGAAGTAGATGAATGGAGCAATTTAAAGATGTATAATTGCTGCAGGAAGGGAGGGAAAGGAAAATGTACTAGAATACTCACTTTGATGAATCTATGAAGTATATTACAAGAGCACCAATACTAAGAGCGAAGACTAAGACAACCTACAAAAGAAAACAAAAGAGTCATTATTTAACAGTGTTAAAGTTGTTTGTTTTTTTTTTTCCACACAAAAAAGACAAGGAAAATAAATAATAAACCAGTATTTTTTTTTTCTTTCAGCTGTCACTTTCTTTAGAAAGCTACTTCTACTTCAATTTCAAACACTATATACTATCATAGAATTCTTTCTTGCATTGAAAACCAGACACAATCAAGTTGAATCCTAGCTCAGGCATATACAGCTCAGTATACAATTAGGTCCTAGATCTTAATCTCTACTATATTTTTTATTTCAAATGGCAAGCAATCCCACTGCGTGGCATTCCAATCACACTATAGCTTTATCAGACTTATCCTCCCGGACTGCAGTAAGTTTCTGCTCATTGGTAGGTAAACCAAGAGTGAGGGCAGATTAGACTGAATTTCCATTTATATACATGGCTGTGAAATCCGCAGGATAAGTGTAAGGCTATGTCAAAAAATGGATTTACTCTGCACTCCTGTCCACTGAGACTATAGTTAACTTTCAAGCAGGTTAAAACAACAGCTTGATGCAGCATGTCCTGATATGATGAATACATACCCCAGGCACCACAAAGTCCCAACATTTTCCCTCCCGTCAATCTGTTGAAGTTTTTGAACCAAATCATTCTGTTCGGTCTAGCATCCAGCCTTTATTAACAAGGTAGAACTTGCTTTTCTGGCTAGCGCAGCAGAAACTGGTTAATCACATCTCCATCTGCCTCTCATTTCCTTTTTTCTGAACATAAAGCCAATGCAATTGTCTGTTCTACCAGCTCCCAAAGATTCTCCAACATTGTGGGAACGTTTAGTTTCACATCCTATCCAAAGTAGGTCTGCATCTACACAGGACAGCATAACTGAAATTTTTGTACTCAAATTTTGGCTTGACAAATCATGAAGTTTGTGTACCCATTGCTACTTAGATTTCTGATATCCTTACTCTAGGTTTCTGCCTCTTGAACAATGCCACCGGCTGGGTAATTTGGAATCTGAAAACATGAACCCAATAATTTTTTTTATCTGAGAATGCAATTCTTCTAGAAGAAATCAGAAAAGATTCCCAGCTGTCACACTGAGTGTGGGAAACAGATGGAGAATTGTGTTCCCTGCAACTCATCTGATTTGCTGGTCTACAGAATCAAAACAAAATGTCCCTTAGTCTTCTGGAAGGCACATCTCAAGTAGTTGCTTAGAAGTGATGTCGTTTAAGATAAATACAGAGAATTGATTGCTCAGGATTGGGTAAACCATGGTACTAACTAAGGGGACACAGCTCTTTTTCCAATAAAAGAAACAAACTCATTAATTTCTTAATATTTTGTAACCATTACAGATTGTTAAAAATTCCATTCAACTCAACGTTTAAATTAATTTTTCATTCCTATTAGATCTTGCTGACCATAACTTTTTGCTTTGTGAACGTCTGAGAAAGTATTTTGCCTGAGTACAAGTGCCTGTTGTCTTATCTGATGCATTATCACCCGAATCAGTGAGATCTGTCAGTCAAATACAAGGACTGAAACTCTGCAGATAATATTTTTACTACCCAAGTCTAATATAATGTTAACATCTAGAGTTTCAATCTTCTTTCATTAAACTACATTATTGATCAGATGTGTACAGGTGTTGCAAGGTGAGATAAGCTATTAAATCCATATAAAGATGGAGTAAGAGTCTTACCATCTCCTAAGAAACTAATGTGGTGAACTTGTGGATTGTCACCTGGAAATATACCCCAAATTATGATCCCAAGTGATCCCAAGGCCTGTTTTTCACTGAATTAAGTTACTGGGAATCAAATTGTGCATGCCCTGCCCCACCCCTTGCAGCATTCAATGCCACGCACAATCACAGTTTGGATCTGAATCAAGTCTGCTCCATTGTCTAGCTCTATAATTACTTATTATCAATACATTTCAAGACAAGTCTTTTTTTTTTTTTTTTTTTAAACAGAGGTAACCTGAGAGTTCTGGGAATACAGGGATTACATTTTCGGTGAAAATTTTCATTTGACTCAAATCAGTTTTAAACATAGGTATTCAATCTTACGTGGTTTAAAGTCAAGTATTAATGGTGATGTTTTAGCAAACATTCTGTGGAATCATTTATATACGAATAGCACCATCAAAACCACTACCAAACAGTTATCTCCTTAACGAGAAACAAAACCAAAACGAGCAAACAACTCAACCAACCAAAAACTAACCTAAAAAAAACAAACCCCAAAAAATCCAAAACCAAAACAACAGATTCACCCTACAGAAGGAGTTTTGAGCCGAAGAATGCCAAAATAACCATTTAATGCTGAAAATTAAATTTGAGAAACTGGACTTGTAATCTCTTTGGGACTCCATGACACTCTTCTCAGTCTTTCAAGTTTTGCAAAGTACAGAAGTTAAGCTGGACTTTTGTTTTCCATTTCATATAGCAATTCTTAGATCACAGCATTCAGTCATTGCCTACTAGCCAAAGAAGTCGTCTAGAACAAAACCAGCATAACTGTATACCAGCCTTGCATTTTAGTTATATCCTATCCCTTAGTAATCATCACTTGCTGTTTAATTCATGTTATATAGGTTCTGGGTAAGATCTTCAAAGACACTTAAGGAATTTAAATGTTCTATGACAGTTCATGTAACTACTACTAAAATGCAAATACCTAAATTTTGCAAGAAGCTCCAGATTCCCACGCTACACCAAACAGTGAGGTATGTATGCAAAACTACACTGTAATATATACCTGATTTTAAATCAAGGTTTGTTTTCTCCTCTATTGCCCAATAACACATACCTAGCATTACAACTCATAATGTCTCCAAAAATCACAGGAAGGGCATCAGAAGAGAATGGGATCTTAAACTCAATTTTTATCCTGCTAGCAGAAACACGTTTTTGCTTTGCTAAGTGACAGAGGTATTGAGATGAACTTGAATACACTAAGCATGTGGAAAAAGCAGGGCCTGAATCAACCAGTTTAGAGTTATACTAAAATAAAATAAAACACCCCCCCCAAAAAAAAACCCACCCCAAAAAACCTCCTTCCATGCTATAGAAACACATTTGATGGATATTCAGATACAGATTTTTTGCTGTATTCCCCCCTAAAAAGTCTAAATGAAACCTGGTTATTCAGACCAAGGGAGACAATTACTGAGTTTAGGTCTAGATTCAGATTAGAGTCTTTGCTGTATTGTCGTGGGAGATAACACCTATTTTAGGGAACTTGCTATGCTAGAAGAGAGGTATAGACACACTGATAGCTGAAACTCACAGCAACTAGAATCTAAGAGGGGGAAAAAGCATACATGTATGTGAATTATTGCCTTTTTTGTTAACCAGGCCATGGGAAGAAGCTTGCTTGCTCTGTTTATCATTCCAATGCATTTGGCACAACATTGCAATTGCTGCACATCTGTTTTAACTTCACTCTGTCTGGAAGGACAGAAACTTTTAATTTATGATAACTTACTGTTTGTTTAAGATTGAGAAATGTGAAGTCATATGCTAGCAGCTACGCTGACTAAGCACTTGGTATCAAGTTAAAAACTGATTAAAGGAAGGAGAGGGAAAACCATGGAATAGTTGCTGCATATCCTTAAATCTTTCTTAAGGGGAAAAAAAAAAAACCCACACAAAAAACCCACAACAAAAAAAAGCAAAACACAACCGTCCAGCCACAGGGTTCAATAAAAGTGTACAATGCCTTTTTGAGGCAGGAGTTAGAGAAAACACAGATAAAATCCATTTAAAGATGACTGTAAAAAAATGTTTTGCTCTCCACTGCTAGCAAGATGCTCCAGAAGAGCTTTGACTGCTCCGCTACAGTCAAACTGCAGCCAAGCTTTACATATCCACATTAAGGATGGAAAAGAAAAAAAAAACAACCACCAAACTGGAAATTTTAATAAGGGTGTAGCAACATAATAAGACTGCAGGGAAAGTATAGGCATTCAGAAAATACCATCAGAGTTAAACCATGATAACTGTGAAGGGGATCAGCACACCTTCCAGAACCAGGCCTACGTAAACAGAAGGACGACGTTGATAATCCAAGGGGTGGCACTGTTTCCTCTACACCGGCACCGAACTATTGGCCTTATTGAAGAAACATGGGAAAATGGAAAGGCTGTTCACATTAGAGACAAGGGCTACAGTTAACACATCCACAACAACGAGTAGTGTAAGGACCCTGGAGCAGGAACTTCAATCTCTTGTAATATCTGAACGTCCTGTGGAACACAAAACAGCACTCATTGAATTTTCAAAGCCAAATTCTTGCTAATACAATATTGAACTACCTAAACCTCATTAGTACAAAATAGCATAGAACTCAACACGTAAAGCAGGAAATAAAAAAAGGATAGCTGTGTATTGTTATATGCCTCTCAGTATAAGTATTAAAATAATAAGTACACAGTGAAAAGAAACACCTGTCAGGACACCTGTAACTCCTAACACTTCAAGGCACAAGAGACTCCTTATTTTGTTACCCAATGACAAACTGTTGTGTATTTTCTTCTGGAATGTCTGTCTGAAACTATTATCATTCTAAGGTTAAATTTTTTAACCCTAAGCCTATCGTACTGCTTAGAATGTATTAAGTTTTTCATTGTTAATATTTCTAGAATTTAACTTAATTTTAATTTCTATGTCCATACAGTAAATTCTGTTAATGAGCTACTGCGCTTTTTCATATGGTGCTTTAAAATAAAGATCTATTAGCTTTTATATTTCAAATTACATAAGGGGAATACAAATTATTCCTTCTGACCATAATGCTACATCTTCAAGGATCTACTAAGTTTGGAACACTCAAGTTTGCATTAGTACGATATCAATAGCCTGAGGTTTTGACCCAATCTGAATGAAAATTTACATAGTTTAAATATAAAATACAAACTTCCTTTAACTATAAAAGTGGAAATGAATTGTATTTCTTTTACAGACAAACAGATTTTACTTGTCTGGATTTGTTAGA